CGCCCCTCCCAGCCATCTACGTGTGCGGTGGTAACGTCTTCCGCCTCCTCCGTGAGCTCCGCCGCCGCAACCTCCTCCAACCCCTCCAGGACGCCGTCCTTTCCCACCGCGTGCCCTACGTCGGCATCTCGGCGGGCACCGTCCTAGCCTGTCCCACCGTGTGCACCAGCAACGACATGCCCGTGGTGGACCCCGGCGACTACTCGACCTCCGCCGGCTCCTCCCTTCAGGCCTTGGGCCTCGTGAAATTTCAGATCAATGCCCATTATTACGGCGGTGAATTTTACAGCCGGGAGCCAGGGACCGGCGCGTACGAGGCGCACGCCGGGATGCGTCGGGAGGAACGGATTCAAGAGTTTCTAGAAGAAACGAGCGAGGCGGCGCCGGTTCCAGTCTTGGGTCTCCCCGAAGGTTACCTCCTTCGATGCGAAGGCGAGAAAATCGGGGTCCGTGGAGGTCCCAGTACCCGCGGCAGTGCCGTCACCATCTTCAAGAAAGACCAATCCCCCCTGGAGGTGGAAGGGTTGCCGACGGAGGACATCGCAGCTTTGGTCTGGGGACAAGCCAAGCCGTCCACTCGGACGCCGGGAGGGATGGTGCCACTCCATGTCCTGTTCGGAAACCCGGTCAGGAGCCAAGCGCGGCTCTCCCCCGACGGTATCTACCTGTCGTTCTTGGCCCCCGACCCCACCACGGACGTGTTGAATGTCTGGGTAGTCGAGCGTGCAGCAGGAGTCGTGTCCCGCACGGCCCGCATGGTCACCTCCGACCACAACCGGGGCATACGCCAGCATTTTTGGGCGGAAAATTCCCGGGAAATTTTATATTTGCAGGACGTGGGTGGCGACGAAAATTGGCATCTATTTTCGGTCCCTCTCTCGCCGGGGGAAGCCGCCGACGCCCGCTCGGGCCGTGTGCCGGTGCGGGATTTGACCCCATTTGAGGGGGTACGGGCGGAGAATGTGAGGCGAAGCCCGCGCCACCCCGATGAATTGCTGGTTGGTTTGAATTTGCGATCCCGCGTCGTCTTTGACGTGTATCGGGTGTCGCTGGCCACTGGGTCCTGCGTCCTTGATACGGAAAATCCTGGGGACGTGCTGGCCTGGTACACCGATAAGGATTTCGAGGTGCGCGGTGCCTTTGCCGCCGACGCCGCCGAGGGGGGACGCCGGCTGCGGGTCCGGGACAAGGGGAAAGCGGCCTGGCGGGAGATTCTTGCCTGGGATTTCGAGGAGACGAGTGAGGTCGTTGGGTTCAACCCCGACGGCGACGGGATCTACATCTTGACGTCCGTCGGATCGGATACCACTCGTTTGGTCGAAATCGACTGCGCGGATGGGCAGGAGCGCCGGACCTGGTTGCATGACCCTCGGTGCGATGTGGGTCAAGTCCTGATCAACAAGGAGACATTGGCACTGGAGGCGGCGGAGCTCAATTATTTGACGCGGGAGTGGCGGTGCTTGGAAGAAGGGGAACAAAGCGCAGGGACGCGGTCGGTGGCCCGAGATTTTGCGGCCATCGAGGCAGCCGTGCGCCGACAAGCGGGGGGACGGCGGGATTTCCGAGTCGTTTCCCGGGCGCACAAGGATGCTCTCTGGGTCGTGGCGGTCTCGGGCGACACCGTGCCCACCGAATTTTTCCTGTACTACCGCGCCACCCAGGCCTTGGATTTATTGTTCGTGGACCGGCCCCAGCTGCTGGAATATTCGCTCGGGCGCATGCAACCCCTGGTCATCTCTGCGTCGGATGGTGAAGAATTGGTCTCTTACCTGACCCTCCCCCCCGCCCTCCCCCCCTGGACCCCGGGAGCGGAGTCTCCTCCCCTTCATCTGCCCCTGGTGCTCCTCGTCCACGGAGGGCCATGGGCCCGGGACTCGTGGGGATTCAGCCCCGTTGTCCAGTTGCTTGCCAGCAGGGGCTATGCCGTCCTTCAAGTCAATTACCGGGGCAGTGCCGGCTTTGGCAAGAGCTTTGTGAACAAGGGCAATGGGGAGTGGGGGATTGGAAGCATGCAACGCGACTTGACGGAGAGCGTCCGGTGGGCGGTGCAGGCAGGGGTGGCGGACCCGGCGCGCGTCGCCATCATGGGCGGGAGCTACGGTGGGTATGCGACCTTGGCCGGTTTATGTTTCACGCCGGAATTGTACAAATGCGGCGTGGATATTGTCGGGCCGGCGCATTTAAAGACCCTTTTCGGCAGCATTCCGCCGTACTGGGCCCCGATGAAACGACAACTGGTCAAACGCGTGGGCAACGTGGAGGAGGAAGAGGTATTCAACCGGAAGATTTCCCCGGTCTATCACGCCAAACGCATCCGCGCCCCTTTGATGATAGTCCAAGGGGCCAACGATCCCAGGGTCAAGAAAGCCGAATCGGATCAAATGGTGGCCAGTATGCGAGCGGAGGGGTTGGAAGTTGTTTATCTAGTTTACCCGGATGAAGGTCATGGCCTGGTGCGCCCCCCGAACAAGATGGACATGTACCATCGGATTGAGGCCTTTTTGAAGAAGCACTTGGGGGGGAAAATGTTTGCAAGTCGGGAGGACAAAGCACTTTTTGACGGCACGTCCGCCCTGATTGAGTAAGACAAGCATTTGACAGGGTATAGAAAGGAAAAATGGACGTATAGGAAAGGAATGAATTGATAAGCCAATAAGTTCAAAATTTATAAATTTTAGAACTATCATCTAGAGAAGCTGTATAGTCCGATTATATGGCATCTCTGCTGCTTGATAAATTGTTATGGGCAGATGGACCAAAACAAATCTTGCTCCCGTTGTTCACATATGAGTATGTCTCCGCGTTTCATTCAAAAGAGACAGATAATGGCTTTGCTCTTAGCCCCGCGCTACCCCCCTTCCCCGCTTGTTCCGGTTCAAAAAAGGGATGACTCGTATCTCAAAGTAATTTTGTGCGGGCCTCTCATTGTACGTCCTACCACAAATTAGATGCATGTGATTTTGTGATATAAGAAGACCAGCACGCGCGTGACGTTTGGTGTTGTCTCGTACCGTGGGCAGGCGGAATAACCTCCCCCCTACTACTGAATTAAACGGCGCATGCGTGTGCGGTTTCGGATTTTTTAATGTATTCATTTACTGTCATCTTGCGCCCATTCCGGTCGAAGGAGGAAAGAAATGTATGTGAAAGGAATATCGAGACTCATTGTGTCGTTCGTGGTAGCCACTGTTGTACGAGGTGACAGTTGGTTGTTCCTCCATCGGTCATCGGACTTGCAAAACCTCCCGCCCGGCGCTACTTCTTCCCTGCCTTCTGCTTGTTATTTTTTGAATTGTCGTCTTTCGACCTTTGTACTCCAGTTCGACCAAGAGGCACAGTGTACTGTGAGTGCAAGTGTAAAGCATTTGCTTTGTGATCATGGCCCGGTATCATCACCCCATGCCTCAGACTAAACGGGTTTCGATTGCGTACCCGGCAAACTTTAGTGCATGTCCCGATTGCAGGCGCCTACCTCCAATAAGGAGGAGATGGAAATACAAGCGAAAAAAGCTCTATTACCATACGGTGGTTTACGTGAGCCTTTAAACAGTAGAGTCGGCTGATTTTCACCTCGGCCTTTCTTCCTGCACTGCCCAGCAGTCTCTCTGCTCCACGGCACTCAGAAGACCTTCCTCAAGGCTCAGCATTTTCGGGGCCACTATGGCCCCTATCCACCAAGCATCACGCGTTCCACCGCCTTCGTTACCCACTAAAGTCCGCCGTAAGCTTGTTGGCCACCGCGGCCCTATCTACACAATCCGGTTCAATGGTAAGGCGGCTTCCATGTGTTTTTCCCTTTCACGCCACAAGGAGATATTGGAGCGATGGGAAGAGGGCATGGAGGAGTGCGCACGATAAGATCCTGCTTCTGATCCGATAAAGGCCGGTCGTGCGGGGTTTTAAACGCCCGTGTTGTTTCCTCTACGAGGAAGCCGTCTTGAAATGCTCATGGCCTTCTCCCTTCTGCCAGAAAAAGGCACCTATTGTATGACTGGAGGGCAGGACAAAAGCATCAAGCTCTGGAACCCCTTTCGCCCCAGCGCCGACGCCAACAAAGCAGGTGGAGAGCCCTTTCCCTACTTGGAAGGACAGCTCCCCAGCCCCTCCCTTGATGCCCTCCCTCCCGTCCTCCCTCCCTTCTTTCCCTCCCTCCTTCTTTCCCTCCCTCCTTCTCTCTTTCCCTCCTTCTTACCCTCCCTCTTCTTGATACCAACACTCCCTCCCTCCCTCCCCGCAAACCACTTCAGGAGAAGCCATGCTCGTCCAGACCTTCACGGGCCCCCACGGCTACGAAATCCGCGATGTGGCGATAACCACCGACAATGCCCGGTTCGCCTCGTGCGGGGGCGACACCGCCTTTTACCTGTGGGACGTGGCTACGGCTCGGGTCGTAAAGAAATTCAGTGGACACGCGCACATGATCAACAGCGTAGCGTTCAACGCGGAGGGTACCGTCGTCCTGAGCGGGTCCTATGATCGGACAGGTAGTGCCTGGATTCCATATCCTTGTCAAACCCCCCCAAAAAATAAATTTTATGATAGGATTCGACCTCAGACGAGACGAGTACAGCTGATGAGTGGGTAGTGATTTTTAACTCACAGATTATATCGCTCCATCCGGGTGCTCGTACAGTCAAAATCTGGGACCTGCGAAGCAATAATCGAGACCCCATTCAGACGTTGGACGACTTCAAGGACAGCGTGACGCGTGTGATGGTTTTGGAAGAGGGGGGTAGGGCGGGGAAGGGGGCGGGAGGGAAGGAGGTGCTGGCCACTTCTGTGGATGGGTGTCTGCGCACGTATGATATACGGAAAGGGGTGATGTGGATGGACGATTGCAAGGAGCCCCTATCTTCGGTGACCGTTTCCGGGGACGGACAATGCGTGCTGATGAACGGTTTGGACGGTGTCGTCCGTTTGTTGGAGAGAAGCACGGGCGAGATGCTGAACAATTATCAAGGGTACGATTGTTGGCAGGAGGCATCTGGGAAGGTAGTGGCGATAGCTAATCCACCTTTCACTTCCATCCTCCCTACACACGTCAGACACACCCACCAGGCCTACCCCATTGAATCGTGCTTCGACAATACGGACGCTTTTGTGCTGTCAGGCTCGGAGGACGGCTCTCTCTATGTATGGGATTTGGTAGAGGGAGGGAGCGAGGGAGGGAAAGAGGGGAAGCCGGTCGCTGTCCTGAAAGAGCACAAACGGGCCTTAGGTTCCATGTCTTTCCACCCGTCCGAAGCTGTCCTTGTCACAGCAGGATACGATGGTGTAGGCTGCTGTTGGTTCAGGGAGACGCGATGAAGTGTGGGGAGGGAAGCCGGGTGAGGAAAGATGTCTCGCACAACAAGTAAAGCAATGATGCGTGTAAATATTTAATCGCTTGAAAGCAAAAGTAACAGTTGTTGAAATTTTAAAGCCATAATTGAAATTGTGTGCCTGTAATGAAGATGCAGCACTGGTAAATGACATTGCGACTTGAGTATTCAGGTTGTAGCGTATGTGGTGAGGGGAGGAGGTTAAACCATGTTAACTCGGGCATCGTTTCCTCCTTGGTCGCGTCCACAGATTAGTTCGCAAGGGACAACAGTTTGAAAATTGGTTTTCATGGTAATGTCCAGTCATGTGCGAGAGATTCGTCCCCTTGTCCGATTCCTCTTTCAAAGTCGAAGCTTCCTGCTTTTACTTTCCACGTTTCCTCCCTCTTGTTCGCCGACGGTCAGGGGCAGGTCGCTGAGCGTCGGCGGGCGGGACCTACATGCATGACATCACACGCCTTTGCGCCGTGGCTAGAAATGCGCAAACTTGATAGGAGAGAATGGAGGGCACCAATGGTATGGCAAGGTGCTCATGGTAGGATTGGATGTGTTCCGTTTGGTTGCGGATGTGCGTCTTTTTTTGTGGGTCGAGCCCTCACCGGGGTTGGACCTCGTTTTTGGCTTCCCACAGAAAGTGCTTCACACAACCCATCATTCTACCCCCTCAACAACAGCTCCAGTCATGAAAATCTCGTCCCTCTTTGTCTTTGCTGCCACTGTCCTGTCGGGCACCGTTTCCGCGTCCGTGGCCGGTTCAAAGGCCTCTGCCCACTGCCTTCCTACCGGCACTGAAAACGAGCTCCTCACAAGGCATCGGGGAGGTTTCAAACTTCCCTCCAAAGCCACAACCGCCGTGTCCCCGCCGGTCAAAAAGCCAACGGACGTGAAAAAAACCACCAAAAACGCCAAATCCATCGAGTGGGGCGGGGTCTCCACGGTATTGGGCGGGGCGTTGGCCCACCTGGCCCTTGGCACTCTTTATTGTTGGGGAAACTTTCAATCCTACGTGCCGAAGCATCTGCTCTTCTTCGACGGGACCGTCAAATCGGGACAACCAGATGCTGCCCTGGTCTTCCCCTTGACCATCACCGCGCAAGTTTTGGGGCTGCCCTTGGGCCCAATTTTTCAAAAAAGAATCGGGGAACGGAACGCCTTGCTACTTGGCTGTCTTCTGATGGCCACGGGAGTGTTTTTGTCCTCCTTCGCGACGAGCTTGTCCATGTTCATGCTTTTCTACTCCCTTTTTTTCGGCGTTGGTGTGGGCATTGCCTACACGGCGCCCATCGTGGCGGGCTGGAAATGGTTTCCTGACAACAAAGGCTTGGTCTCCGGCGCTGTCTTGACCGGCTTCGGCGCCGGTGGATTCTTTTTCAACCTCCTCGGTACCAAAATCATCAACCCACTCAATGAAAAACCCATCAAAGGGGCCTTCTCGCCCGCCCTGACCGCGGGTTTCGCGCCCCTCTTGAGGAAGTTGGCAGGATGCTACGTTGCCTTGGCTGTGTTGGGTTCCCTCTTGGTTTCCGCCCCCAAGAGCCCAGCCATCCAAGCAGGAAAGAGCAAGGCCAAGCAAGCTGTCATTGGACCGGACTACACCCCTGGACAAGCCCTGACGTCCCTTCAATTCTGGTGGATTTGGGCGATTATTTTGTTGATGTCGAGCGGTTCCCTGGCAACGGCAGGGGTCAATAAGGCCTTTGGGCTGACTTTTCCTGAGCTTCGCTCCGATTCGTTCCTGTCCATGGTCTTGGCGCTGTCTGCTTTGTTCAATGGAGGGGGTCGGCTTTTTTGGGGCAGTATGTCGGACAAATTCGGGTTCAAACACGCTTTCATCGCCATGGCTACCGTTCAGGCCGTCACCCTCGCGCTCTACGACAAATTGGCTTCCTCAAAGTTGACCTTCGCCCTGGGCACCATGTCAGTTTACTTTACCTTAGGCGGGGTCTTTGCCATGTTCCCGCCCGCAGTGCAAAAGCGTTTTGGGGCGCGCAACGGGGTGACCATCTACTCCTACCTCTTCACGGCCTTTGCCTTGGCCTCGGTCGGCGGCAGCATCCTGGCCAAGCGTTTGGTGGCCTACTTTGGCGGGTATGAAAACGTCTTTAAGATATTCAGTGCATCCTCTGTGGGTGCCTTGGGGCTTGCGGCATTGTTGCCGGAGGTTTAGAGGGATGGGCGTGGAGAGGGGGCGGATGGAAGAGGAAGAACCTTCCCCTCGAGCAAGCGTCTTTGTGTGGGATTGGAATGATGCATATCGAGGGCAGCTGTACGCTGGTGAGGACGGAAACAGAAAGCCCTTTCAAGCGCAGCGGAGGTGTTGGGTTACCTTTATGTTTTGGTGAGCGCTATCGTCACTCAGTTGACGAAAAGTGTATGTCGAGACCGAGGAGTTGTGTGTGAGCCACTCAATAAGTCTTGGGAGATTTTAACTATTCGCTGAGTCAGTACGGTTGGTATTTTAGTGGCCTTTCTTCCATGGTTTTTGCTCAGTACTTCGCAGTGATTTTATCTTGTACGGGTGACGGGGGGGTACGTCACGCCAACGTGCATCTATCCATTCCACTCAAAGAACAAGCCCCAAAACGCTTTTATACATGGCTCCCGTACAAAAAAAGTCTTTTCCTGAAACATCGCTGCGTCACTACCTGTGCACGGGGCGCCGCGAAGGCGTTGGATTCGGCTTGTGTGTGCCTTGTAAAAACGCGACTTACGCAAGGATGCCGCCGTCGCCACCGCCCTTCTCGCCTGGGTGGGAACATCCCTCCCGCCCGCACGATAAATTGCACCAAGAATGGAAAGAGTGCACGCCCAATTCCCGCGATAGAAGCAACACATTGATGCCATTCGTTTCGTTGCCCTCCAATTCCCCTGTACAGGTTGCTTCTGGTGTCTCTGGCTTGTGCTTCCCTCCGGCCTAAACCTTTTGGAGGAGGGAGGCTGCATTATAATTTGACCGTTCCCGTCTAAAACTCCTGCGAACGGTACTCATCAAGTCTCTACTTTGGTATATGTGTTAAAAAATACTGCACATGAAGCCCTCCTCCCCGCCAAATCAACGCATGAGGATAGAAACCGGCCTCGGTACCCCTGACAGGGAGCACGGAGGGAGTGGCATCGTGGGCGCTTGGCCGTGGTAGGTAGGCTCTATCACCGTCTCATACGGCAGGGAGGAAATATAAAGGGGCATTTTTGAAACGTGGAGATACCCCCACGATACTTTTATTGAAATGCATGCCGCGTGACGCCTTATTTAGCCCCCAAAAGACGTGGAAGGTCTCGTTTTCCTCCTCGTCAACAACAATGCCTCTCCTCACCTTGTCTTCCTTGCCCATCCCAGCGGCCTTGGCATACGTAAATCCCTTCTGCTCTTCACCGGCGTTCTTCTCATCTCCGCCGTCTTTATCCTCAACTCAACGCCCCCTTCCCTCCCTCTTCTCCGGCCGCCTCCTCCTCCTCCTGTCGATACCTCCCTCTACACAAACTTCACGACCGCGCTCATCCTCCCGGAGCCCCACGAAGACTGGGTTTCCTTCGAAAGATCCGCGGCCCCACGCTTTTTCACGCACCAGGAACTTTACACTCTTCCCCCTCCCCCGTCCTCGCCGTCCTCCTCCCTCCCCGCCTCTTCCTGCGTCGACAGCGGACTCCCTTCCCATTGTTGTCTCGGAGCTTTCTCTCTGGCCGGTCTCATGGTGTGGGACAGCATCGCGTGCGCCAACGCCAATTTTCTCAGTTATCAACTCCCCCATACCTCGCCCTCCCTCCCGTCCTCGACCTCCCCCGGCGCCTCGGGGTTGGGAAGGTACCGGGACATGGGTGATGTGTTGGGAGGGCTGGGAAACCGGACGTTGACCATATGGGGCGATTCGGTGGCGAGTCAACATGCGCACGGTGAGAGGGAGGGACGACGAAGGGAGGGAGGGAGGGAGGAAGGAAGGGAGGGAGGGAGGAATAAGGGACCCGGGAGGGAGCGGAGACGGAAAGATACCCCTGGAAGGTCAACCAGGCCTGACGTATTTTCAAACCATACTGCCAACGGTTTTTAACAATTTACAGCCATGGAATGTTCGTGGCTTCGGTCGGGGAAGGCGGAGACGGTCCGTTACGAGAAACTTGATTTCAATCGGATCTTCAAGAAGAAGGAGGAAGGGGGCGGTTTCAATCGCGCAGGAACGTATGGCACGAACGCCCTGTACACGTGGCAAACGCGCCTGCGGGCACGCGGAGGAAGCGAGGGGGAGGGAGGAAAGGAGGTGGAGGAAAAAGGAGTAGAGGGGACGATGAAGCTGTACCTGACGTACCGGCCGTTGTTGAACGAGAGCGCGGGCCTGTTGGCAGAGGCAGACGTGCTAGTCGTCAACTTCGGCCTCCATTACCTCATTGATAAACGGGAGGAATACAAGCTGGAAATGAGGGAGATGCTGCGGGCCCTGGCGCCTTTTGGGAGGAACGAGCAGAAGCGATTGATTTGGAGGGAGGTAAGGAAGGTGACGCCCGGGAGGCTCTCATGAATCTTGGCTTGAATCGGAGATTCACCGCTGTGGGCGCGTGCTCATCCTTCATTTATCTTCCCCCTGCATCTCCTCCCGACAGACGTCAGCCCAGCACCACTTCAACGAGGGCGGGGAGTTTCCGTTGACCATCGACCCGGAACGTTTCGGGGTTTCGCGGAAAGATTACGTGGCGACCATGAACCGGTGTTTTCCCATTCACTTTGGGCCGTACATCCACCCCCAGTGGCGGGATAAGCTCCTCTTGGCCTTGGCAGCGGAGGAAGGGTGGGAAGTGAGGTTCCTGGACGGGTACGACGGAAGGGGGGGCGATGAGTTTGGAAGGGAGGAGGAGGGAGGAGGGATGGCGGAGCCGCGGGGGCCTCGACGAGGGCAAGGGAGGGGCCAGGGATGCGGTGAGAAGGAAGGTTCGGGCGTGGAGGATGTGAGGTATGTGGAGGGTATGAGGATGGGAGGAGGTAGGGGTGGAGGAAGGGAGGGAGGAAGGGAGGGAGGAAGGGAGGGGGGGAGGAAGCCGGTCTTGTACTGGCTGCCATTTTATCGCCTGACGAGCGAGCGACTGGATCTGCACCCATACAATGAGTGGAAAGGTAAGTACGACTGCACGCATTACTGCTACACTCCCTTTTTGTGGGATCCTTTAGTGGAAGGGCTGGCGGAGGCGGTGGAGGAGGAAGGAAGGGGGGGATGTGATGGGAAAGTGTGAGGTGCGAGGGAGCTGTCCTTCAGTCCATTGGCAACAAGCAGGGATGGCATGGGATGAAATGAATGAGGGAGGAAGAGGAGGGGGATAGCATTTGGGAAGGTCATGTACATGAAAGAGGAGGAGGAGGATGGGCGAATAGTCATCAAAGTCCCCGAAAAGCATCTAATTGAACAAATCGGACGCAGAAAAAGGGCACATGCCCCTAGTCGCCGTATATTTCCCTCTAAGTGTTGAAAAATGGCTTCACGTTTTAAAATTAAATGTAATAATACTCCGAGGCAGGACCCCTTTTCCTCAAGCAGATTTCAATGGAAAAAATGGCGGCCATACGTACTTTTGACTCAAGAGCAAGCAATTGGTACGTATTATGTCGGCGGGCAAAACCGTCCCCATCGATACACGTCCAAGCTGTTCAGAAAGCGACACACATCAAAGATGTTCAGGAATGACAGGCACTTCTAATCCCTCGAGCCTAAGGATGTTAAAAAAGGCGTTCGTGTATGGAAACCCCCAGGCATCCCCTCCTCACCAATTTCGTTCGAACCCATTGAAAACCACTCTGCAGCAAGGCACTGCGTGTTGCGCCCATCCTTTTGTATCTCCCTTCCTTCGTATGAACACAGTTCCTGTCCCTCTCCGCCTTGAGTCTCCACGCGGGACGTGTGGCCATGCGAGAGGCAAGAAACACGCTAAAGGACGACAGACAAAACGCTCGATTTTTGCACCAAGGCCATTGCATCCTCTCCACCGTGAATGCACGTCCTCAAAACTTCGCCCCGTGTCGTGTCACGCCCCCAGCAAAAAGTTTCGTCAGAAGAAGATCGCAGCCATCGCCGTACGTCTCTCCCTCCATGCGTCACCTCAACGGGTTTGGGCGACGCGAATTAAAAAAAAAATGTTCTCCTTCATTCCCATGCACCCTCCAATCCTAACCGCAGAGGCCTGTCGACGAAGCCTGTGGGGTGTCTGGCCGCAGCTGAAAGCAAATTGGGCGAGGACACCGGGGTGAGACGGACATTGAGTCGAAGCGGGAGTTTAAGCTCAGGTCGTGTCTCTGGTGGGAAGGCGGGCTTCTCCTCCTTGTGCCGTTCCGGGAGAAAAGAAGGCCAAATTCGGCTTCCGTCTGCCCACAAGCTGCAAGACCAGTGAGATTGTTACCATGCAAGTGCTTTTGCGGTTGGAGCATAGCGTGGAATTTTTCTGGGCTGTTGGTAAGTCGTTTCCCCCTGGTTTTTCCTCCCTGCCCTCAAGCAGATCTCACCGGCGAGCTCCCATCCCACGCTGCATTTCCTCCCCCAAACCACCCACAGTTGCCGGAATCATCATTAGCACCTGGATCCGGTACACGGTGCTGCAAGGGCTGTCGATTGAGGCCTTACATTTCATCCTTCGTCTGTCCCTGACGTTAACCGTCGCCATGGCCTTCGTTCCTCTTTTCAAGCTTCCCTCCTCCTCCTCCTCCTCCTCCTCCTCCTCCTCGTCGTCCTCGTCCCCTCCCTCCCACCTTCCTCCTGCCTCCTCATCCTCGACCACATTGTCGGCCACCGCACCGTCCTCTGTCTCCTCCACCTCCGTGTTAAATTTCCGATCCCCGCCACGGTCGACCAACAGGTCCAAGGCCATAGAATCAGCCGACGCCGCAGCCACTCCCAACTTTGCCCACCCACCATCCTCTCTGCTTACCGGCACCTCCCTCCTCCAACCCTCCTCCTCCCCGCCGCCCCCGTCGCAACCTCCTTCCCTCCCCCTCCTCCCGTCGGATGCGGTCCCTCGGAGGCATACCCGCCCTGCGCATTCAGACACGCATGCCTGGCGGGCCCGTGAAGGCATCGATACCCTCCTTCTCCGTCCCAATCGCACCTTGGAGACGGTTCGGACTTACTACCCGCACTGCCTGCACGGGCGGGGCAGAGGGGGGGAGGTGCTGCTCTGGGAGCTGGCGGGGCGCATGGATATGACGGGGATGAAAATGG